GATGAGGCGCCCTCCCCGGCGAGGCCGCCCCGTGGTGACCATCTGCCATCCCGTGGGCTCTGAAGCGGGCTGGGAAGGAGGCCCCGGCCCCAGCCAAGGCGGCTGCTCAGGTCCAGCTGCACCCCTGGGCCCGGCCCCAGGTGATCTCCGACAAGACCCCACCTTGCTACTCCCTGAGCTTCTCGGCCAGCTCGCTCAGCGAGCCCAAGCCCTATGAGCGGCTGGCCAGCCACCTGGGAGGCCGGGAGCCCATGGTCCCCCAGGCCCTGCGCCGGGCAGGTGGACATGACAGCTCCCCCAGCCCGCGCTCTGAGGAGGCACTCCTGCATCACTGCATAGGCTCAGCCGTGCCCAGGCGCCGGTCCCCGGCCTCTGGTCCTCGCCACCGCAAGGCCCGGGCTGCGGGCAGGATGAGTGGCCAGCAGAGGCACCCTGGGACTGTGGCCAGGAGGCAGCCAGCTCAGACAGGACCACCGACCTGGACAGCATGGAGTGGCCCGCCATCCAGGAGGGCACCAACTCCATGGTCACGTGGCTGCACCAGGCAGCTGCAGCAGCCCCCCGTGAGGCCTCCTCTCAGTCCAACTCCCTCCTGTCTCTGGGGTCTGCTCTGGAGGACTAATTTTCAAAATGAGTTTGAACACACACGCACACACAGACAATAGCAATAGCTTTGTTTCCTTATTGTTAAATAACTAAGCCAAATATTGTGGCTTGATTTCTATAAATGAATCCCTTGAAATGTATATTTAGATATGTATTAATAAAATCAGAAAAGTAATGCTGATTCCATTGGGGGTGACAATGAGGTACACAAAGAGATTTTTCACTAATTTTTTAAAAATTGTATATTTCAGCTGGCGCCGCAGCTCACTAGGCTAATCTTCTGCCTTGTGGCGCTGGCACACTGGGTTCTAGTCTCGGTCAGGGTGCCGGATTCTGTCCCGGTTGCCCCTCTTCCAGGCCAGCTCTCTGCTGTGGCCAGGGAGTGCAGTGGAGGATGGCCCAAGTGCTTGGGCCCTGCACCCCATGGGAGACCAGGAGAAGCACCTGGCTCCTGCCATCAGATCATCGCAGTGCACCAGCCACAGCTCATCAGCCGTGGCAGCCATTGGAGGGTGAACCAACGGCAAAGGAAGACCTTTCTCTCTGTCTCTCTCACTCCTTCACTGTCCACTCTGCCTGTCAAAAAAATCATAATAAATAAATAAAATTTAAAAAAGAATCAAAGTTCTCTAAAATAAAAAGAGTCTGCTACATGTTCTCAGGGCATTTCCTGGGGACCTGATGTGCAGGGTGCAGACGTCCCTGTGAGGTCCAGGGTGCAAACCCGCCATTTGGGAGCCACCTCTGCCCGCTCACCTCAACTGCTGCTGTCTGGAGAGCCCTCTCAGAAGTTGGAGGAGTGACCCCAAGTGCCCCACAGGGAAGCTCAGCTTCCCTCAGTTTCATGGAGGTTACTAGGGCTGGGTGCTTTGAAAATGCAACATAGTGTGCTTTTCCTGTTGTTTTCCTGTGGCCTCCAGCACTGGGTTAGACCTGGGGCCTAAAGTCCTATACATAAATGTGGGAGCATTTGCATTGGACCAAATATTCTCCCGTATGTTTTCAGTTGTCCCTAGATATCTTATAATACCTAAAGAGACTATGATGTAGATGGTATACTGTGTGTAGAAGAATTCAAGAGGAAAAAGATGGTATATGGCCAGTACAGATGCATTCTTTTTCAATTTTCAAAATCACTGCGAATGGAATCTGCACTTGTGGTCCCCTGGATCCCAAGGGCATCATGGGATAAGGCACTGTGTCATATGGTCATGTAGGCTAGGAAGTCCCAAGACCTGCTGGCAGATGGCTGGACTTCATGGAGAGACACTTTGATTCTGGCCTGGAGTCCCAAGTGCAGGAATGGAAACATTCAAGGCAGCCAGGAGGTTTTCCCTGAATTTGCAGGCCTTAGGGGAGTGAACCAGTAGATGGAAGGTATTTCTCTCTCTCTCTCTCTCCACCCCAGCACCACCACCTCCCTCTCCCTTTTCTCCCACTGTTCATCCTCTGCCTCTTCACTGTAATGCTGCTTTTCAATACACTCTTTTTTAAAGAAGGCAGGTGCTGACATCGTGGGACCCTGGGTAAAGCCATCAGTGTGACAGCGGCTTCCATGTCAGAGTTCAAGACCCAGCTGCTTCTAAGCCATATTTCCTGTAGTAATGGGAGGCAGCAGATGGCTCAAGTTGTTGGATTCCTTACTTCAGCCTGGTTTAGCCGTGGCTGCCGCAGGCATTTGAGACGTGAATCAGATGGAACATCTCTGTGTGTGTGTGTTTCATTCTATGTAGCTCTCCCTCTCTCTTATGTTTGCCTTGCAGGTAAATAAATCAATCTCTTTAAATATTGGAAAACCTGGTTCTGGCACTGCACCTACAGTGCCTGCTTCCCATGTGGACTCTGGTTCAAGACCCGACTGTTCCTCTTCTGATCTGGCTCTCTGCTATGGCTTGAGAAAAGCAATCTACTTCATATATAAATAAAGAGAGAGAGAGAGAGAGAGAGAGAGAGAGAGAGAGAGACAAGGGTAAAACATCGGCACACCCAATATGAGATGCAATGTATTATAACACTGAAATTAAAAAATGCAAGTGATAGAGAAAAAAATTCAATGGTATGGGCTAACAGGATATTTGCAATAACATTCCACATTGGGGTGAGAATGCTTTTGAACTACAGAATGCCAGGATCCAGTCTTCAGGAAGAATTCTATTAGAAATATAGTATTAAACTTGACTATAATAACTGACACAGGCATGAATGGTTAATGCATGGTAAAATTGTTAAAGGAAGGCCATTTTCAAACAGGAGATTTGTATATCCTCCAAGCAGCACTCTCCAAAGCTTTTTATTTCAACTCTGAAATTTTATTATCCAAAGTGTATGATTTTTATACAGAACAAAAGTAAAAGCAGGTATCAAAATCAGCAAAGAGTTTGTAAAATTTCTGCAGAGATTTTCATCTAAGTTAGGGATGGTGAAAGTGGTATCCAAGGAAAAACCTAGATGACTGCTGATTTGTCTCTTGGCATAAATTACCAGGCGGTTTGTTCTGGAGGTACTGAATAACTTGTCATCATCAGTGGTCAGTTGTTGAAATCCAATTTGAGTTGTCAAAGAAAGCAAAAACAAATTTTACATTTTTTGTTGTTGTTGCATTGTGGCATTTTACTGAAGCGGCATTTTTTTTTTCTTCTTAGTAATTTCTTTTTGATTTGAAATTTTTTCATTTCTTTTTAGCATTTTCTTCTTTTTGAAAGATAACTAACTGAAATGGCATTGCACGTTGTTTCCTTAGTATTGCTTTTTTTGTTTTAAGTTTAAAATTTTTGCGAAGTTGTTAAATTTTAATTATTTGGCATTGTCTCCATTAAATGAAACAGTGAATAGGAATGACATTTTACACTAGTTCTGAATAATTGTTTTTCTCTTTTGTCATTTGCAAAGTATAATCAGTTTTAAATTTAAAATTCTTTTAGCATTTTTGTATTTACAAAAGCACTGAACTGAAATGGAATTTTACTTTTATTTGCTGAGTTTAAATTTTAAAAAAATTTAATTTATATATATTTCTAACTTTTTTCTATTTAAAAAGTAACTAAAATGAAGTGATATTTTAATTTTCCTATTAGTATTTTCCTATTTTTTGTTTTTTATTGTTTTTAAACTTTTTAATTTTATTTTTTCAGTATTTTATTTTCAAAAACACTTAAATGACATTTTTATAATCTTTTCTTTTTAAATTTTTTAACAATTTTTAAATTTTAATTTTTTTACTCTTTTTCCCTTTTAAAAAACAATGCAGTACCATTTTTCTTTTCTATTTTTACTTTAAATTTTTTTTTACTTTTCAAATTTTTAAATTTTTTTGAATTTTTCTTTTTAAAAACACTTAACTAAAATGGGGAATATGTATTGGGACCTGAATCAAAATTTTTGAAATTCCAGTTACACTCCAGGACACTGGAGACACTTCTGGGCCTGGACAGCGATATCTTAATGAGAAGATGTAGATTTTAGGAGCCCAAGATGTGCTGACAGGATGTCTAAGGCAGCTGTTACACTGAGAGGAGGCACACTCAGGTGGAAACTTAATTCCCTCCCTGGGATCCCAATTTTCATGAAAGGAAAACAATTGTGTCATCACAGGTATGACAGACAGTGGAAGTAAGAATGGTAGCTGTGAGAAACAGGTCCACCACAGGGCAGCGGTGCCATTGGCTCAGATTGTTCTTGGACCAGGAGCACCTACTAAGCAGCGGGAGTCCAGAATCTGCGATGACTCGATTTTCCATGTCGGGGGGGACAGGCATATGGCCCCTCCTCGTCCTGCAGCTGCCTCAGGCCAGCAGGAACACAGCCTTGCTGTTTGCTGGGGCTCTGGATGCCTTGGCCCACGTCCTGCATCAGGAGCCCCCAGTTCTCCTGCAACACTGAGTGGAGTTGGCAGGACCAGCAGCTGTAAGAGATGAGCATCCTCGTGACGAGGTCCTGCCCGCATCTGTGCTGCCTGACTCTGGGTGTGGAGAGAGGAGTGTTCAGAGAGGTGTTCGGTTCCTTGATGCAGGCTCAGTCCACCTCGCCCACCTGGCCCCTTCTGGCCACACTGCTGCATTCATCACCATGAACTTGCTGTTATCATGCCCATCGATGGCCACCTCCTGGGTTGATGACTGGACCTCTGCCAGGGCCGCTGCTCACTCCCTTTTTGCTCAGGCTCTGAGGGGTCACCCTCTCCACAGTTGTTAGGATACAGAGGAAGGAGCACATCTTTAGGATGTACAGATCAACAGACAGCTTTCACCAACTGACCGATGCCAGGGTCAGGGGACCTGATGGGCACACAAGATGTTCTCTGCCTCCTGCGGGGGTGTGGGAGGGAGCACACGGCACTCCCTGCATCGGGTGCTTGGCCAGAGTGAGGCTGAGTGTAAAATTTAGGAAAGCATCAGAGATCCTCAGGATGCAGACCCCGAGCCAGACACCTGGCCTGCGCCTTCACACAGTCAGCGTTCCCATCATGGAAGACAGCAGAAGGGGGAGATGGTTGGGGTTCAAAAGGAGGAAAGAGACCCTTCCTGTCCTTTTGAGCCCCAAAATCTCCTCCTCCTGCTGTCCTCCATGCGGAACGCTGGCTGTGTGCAGGAGAGGGCCAGCTGTCTGGGTCAGGGCCCACGTCCTGCAGAGTCGGATCCTCTCCTCTGCTCACATGCAGCCTTGTGCACAGGGCGCTGTGTCTCTGACACTGCCCACACCGAGCTCACCCCATCCAAAGGCAGTGTGTGCCCAGAGTCCTGTGCTGTTTGCTTCCAACTCCTCCTGACCTCAGATCTCTACAGGAGGCAGTTGGAGAGGAGCCAGGTGGTGTTCTCTCCAGAGCAGCTGTGGAGTCAGGCCTGGGTCTCCTTAGGTGTTTACTCGGATTGGAGTTGAAGACTGTGCCAGCTCTCAGGGAAGCAGCCTAGTGGATAAAAACAGCTGAGGGCAGTTCATGGTGTTGAAATTGCGTTCTTGGTGTTTTGGTTGCTGTTGAAGTGGAGCTCCTGTGGTAGATGTTTGGAAGAGGTGGGGATGTTACAATCAGCAATACTGTTCTGTACTTCCAACTGTACTTGGGATCTGAAAGAGGGAGAGAAGAAAAATCAAAGGAGAGCTGGGTCAGGTCCAGGTGAGTGCTGAGCCTGCATCTGGGCCTCAGTGGGGCAGAGGCCGGACAAACTCAGTTCCAGTGGGGAGACTGGCTGAAGGGGAGCCCTGGGCTGCTGAGAGGGAAGTGGCAGCCAAATGAGCAGAGTCCTGCCCTGAACTCCAGCCCAGCTCTGCAGTGCTGGGGAACCAGGGCCCTTGACCTCTCCCAACCAGGAGAGGGTGATGTCTCCCCACTTCCTCCTGCTCTCTGGTGCATTAGAAATGGATTAGTTTTCTGCAGTAAGCAAACAGAACTGGGAGTGTAACCACAGCACAACTCATGTCAATAGAACAGACACCAGGTTTCTGTGAAGATGATTCCACATCTAGTTACACCTAGGACCATTCTGCTGTGTGCCTAATAGCTCACTCACTCGACTCTGAAGGGAACATGAACTTTAAAACAGGCACTCTTTAGTCATCCTAGAGTTTCCCCATTTTTTTTCAGTTCCCCTAAGAAATTTTCTTTTTGAGAATATCCTGTTTGTATACTGGTCAGAGGGAAGGACAAATATTGGAGAATGAGACCTAAGAATCTGCATTGGAAATTGGCCTAGGAATAAGATCAGATAAAATGTGATTGTTCAATGTATATTTCTCAACCCAATAGAGGACTTGCAATCAAGTGAGTGGATGGTGAACAGCATGTTTTAGGGAGAGAAGTTCAACTGTAAACATTTTAACTTGATTATGAGGGGAGGTATCCTATTTTGTGGGTCAGGTTTCTACATGACAAGGATTTCTTACTGTATCTTCTATTTCAAATTACTGATCCAAACAGATAGGTTACAGTTCTACCCTATCTGAACAAACAGAAATGAGCTATAATCTGTGCCCAGTGTAAGAAGGAATACGTACATCTCAGACACATACACAGGATTACCTCTGTCTAGGCGTGAAGGCCCAGGAATCTGAAGGTCAGTGCCCACATGTTGGTCTGTGGTTTTCCCTTCATCTCCTGGCTGGGGAATCGGCACATGATTTTCCTCTCTGTGGGCTGTGGTTTTCCCTTCATCTCCAGGCCAGGGAACCTGCAGGCCAGTTTGCATTTCCTGGGCTTCCATTTTCCTTTGATATCATTTTCTTTTGGGGTACTTGGGACATTGCTGGGGCTGATGCTATGACTCTCACACTTGCTGGTGATGGGATTTTCGAGAGGACCTCCCTCCAGCTGGGAGCGGGTCTTCCTCTCAGGGGCAGCAACAAAACTCAGTTCTGAAATAGAACCACAGCCATCAGGATTGGTATTCATGCTCTCTCTCTGGCAGTCAGGCCTGCAGCAGAGGGACAACAAGTAAGGAAAGGGGCCCTGGACAGTCATGTCCTGCACAGACACTAAAATATTTTCATTCGGGTTGATTATTTTTTTTTTGACAGGCAGAGTGGACAGTGAGAGAGAGAGACAGAGAGAAAGGTCTTCCTTTGCCGTTGGTTCACCCTCCAATGACCGCCACAGCCAGCACGCTGCGCATTTGGGTTGATATCATACATATTCACTGATAATTTATCACTAGGCAAAAGTAATAAACATGGCTCAGATGATCACAATATTCAACAAAGTGGGACTAATAAAACACACAGCTCTTAAGCTTTTAAGGCACAGAAACCACACTGGATATCTGTTGAAGGTTTGGGGGGATGGAGCAGGATCATCTAACCTGGAGGGCATTGTAATGAGAGACAAGGACAGGGGACCACTCACAGCAGGAATGGACAACACTAGCACAAGAACACATGCATTTCATACATGCACATGCTTTCCTGAACATACACCAAGCACATCGATTCATAGGATATATGCCTTCAGTGCCTGCCATATAGATAATAATATATATGATGTGGCCATCACTTTTCTGGTCAGTTGAAGGGGGAATATAGTTACAGGCACCTGAAGAATGGAGAGACAAGCTAAGGTGAAACACAAAAGTCAGGAAGAAATCCCAGGTGGGCTGTAAGGCATTGCTTTGGCCTAGCACACACATCTCCCTCCTGAGACAGTGTCTGTGCACTTGCCTTCCTCCCCATGACTGCCCAGCCCTGGCACCGGGTGTTTCTGAGACAAAGCCACACAACCACTGGTTAGTGGCAAAGACAAGTTCAAGGCCTCACTGGGACCCTGACTGCAAAAAGCCCGAGGGGAGAGACCAGGAATTTTCAGGCCATGGGGCACTCCTGAGCTGGAGTTCTAACAGAGAACATAAATGAGGTGCTGACCCTGCTCAGGGATGAAGCACACCGATGCCTTCCTAGTGGGAAATGTTGTGCAGGGCCTTTAGAAGTTCTTGTTTGCAGAGCAGAACTTTTCTGTCCCCAAGGTAGGGACAGAATCTCCACTAGGAGAGGTCCAGTGAGCGTTGCAGGGATCAGGACAGCACAGGGTCTAGCACAGCACAGATGCCCATGAGAGTGGCCTTCATAGCTGGGTGTGAATCACTGTGACCTGGGATGACTCTGCACATCTCTGTACCTCTGTACAGAGGAAAAGTGCATGGTCTCACCAAGAAAAGGTGCCTGCTGATCTATAGCACTGGGGGGACAACTGTCATTGCCAATTCTACTGCAGAACATTGAGAAACAGGGAAGGGCATCAGGATTTCATGATTTTCCTATAGAATGATTTAATGAGTGAAGGTTCCTCAAACCCTAAAGATTCCTGCAGAAAGTGTAAAACCTCATCGAAGCTCAGATTCAAGGAAATTGGACTTTTTCTCTGCCCCTCCCCATGAACCCATACTCAGCAAGAGGCACTCTGCTTGTGATGACATGAAGGATCCCTAGCCTCACTCAGATACTGAATAGATTCCTGTCTTGGTGCAAGATTATGGCGGCTTTGCATGAGAAAAAAATGCCGAATTTAGACACTGGATTAAAACTACAGACCTCATATGAGCACAAATCAGTGCTGTTAAGCAGAAGATGAAAACCACACCATGGACACAGGTGCGGGACTGGACTGCTGTGGTTAGCACCAAGCTGCTTCAGAGAAAACAGAGTCTGCCGACCAAGGATACCTAGTATCAGATAACTAAGGAAACATTGTACAGACTGCCAAAGCTTTAAGCCTGAGAAGTTTGGAGGATGCTGTTTACAATAGCAACTGTTGTTAAAATTAAGAACATCACAGTGACTTGTTAAAGAAGCCTCTCCAAGAGAGATGGTGGTGGCTCAGTTTTTGCCATTCTGCCTTCCCATCCCCTCCTTCCCTGCCTTGATGTCAAAAGCTGCACCTTGAAAGTGGGCCTGGTGACAGCCAAGGGATACCCCGTTTGATGACTATGAACAAACTCCACCCAAGAGCCACATCCAGACCGAGATAAGTCCCCGGGGCCTGAGTGCACAGTGGTCTGTCTCACCCAACACAGGTGCAGCAACCCAAGACTACAGAGGCCACGTGGGAGACCAGTGGAGTGTTCCCGTTCACAATGGAGCACTCACTGTCTAAAACAAGAGCAGAGCAGACAGGCTGTTTCTCCAGTGAGGACCAGGTGCTCCTAGAATGGGACCAGTCAGAAGCTTCCGGAAGAAGTGCAGGAGTCAAACACGTACCATGAGAGTCTTGTGAGACATCTTGATCTTCAATTTCTGGAATCTCCCTGATGAGACTGGAGGGAGGGAAAGGTGGGTGAGAAACAGAAAGGGAACAGAAAGCCCCTTTCCAAGCAGTTCCAAAGAGGCAGCTTCCAGAAGTGGCTGTGCTGAGCAAGGGGCCACCCACAACCTTGTCCCTATCTGGGGAAGTCTGGCTTCTAATTCCCTAGTAGTCCATGCCACACTGTCTGCTCTGCCTCCGAGTTACCTGGATGTGTATCTCACAACTTGCTCTTGTACCTCCACTCCATGATATTGATTTTCTGCAAACAAATTCAGATAGAATGACCAGGTTAAGCAGGTTTTGGGTCAGATATGAGTATCCAATGTCCACTACTACCAAGGGGACAGATTGTTCTCGTGTGAGAACGGGAGACTGTGACGGAAATCCTCCAGGAGGACTAAGTCGACTCAGGAGATGGGCTTGGTGAGCCATCCTGGGCAAGGGGTCAAATCTCCCTGTTCACAGTTGGATCACCATCTCAATAACCTCTGTCCAGAACCCTTAGAAACTGCCTGCAATGGTCCTCAGGGATTCTAAGCTCACAGCCCAAGAACTTCCTAGGAGGCAAACTGCAGTCATCAGGCTGCTCTCATTAAAGGACCCAGGTTGCTGACTGTGGAGAAGAGGTAGAACACTGGGAGAGAGCTATGCATAGAGTCTGCATGCCCTGGAATTGAAACCTGTTTGATGCCACACAGAATCTTGGCTATTCTAAGAGTTTGCTCATGAATAATCTCCCTCTTGTCTATGGGAACAATACAAGCAATTCAAGAGCATGTATTTCTGGACGAACTCTTTCCTAGTCTATTCATCTTCAAATGGAAACGCCATTGAGAACATGAAAGACAGAGATGCCTATATGGATGCTGTGGCCTGGACAAGCATGGATGTCAAAGGGCAGAGCTGAGGTTTGGGATTGAAGAAAAAGTAAGCACGTGGCGACAGTGATCCTCCAAGGTTCCAACCAGGAGGGAGCAAACACCACCGGGGCACATGCTGCTGAGCTTGCTGTGAAATGGTCACAGCTCTGTTCCATAACAAATAAACAATCATGAATTCTAATTCCTGCTCACAGCTCAATTCAGGATTTTGAGTCTACAACCACAAGTCTGTAGGTCTGGCACGTAGCAATGACTTCACTCATCCTCAGTGGGGATAGGAGTACAAGGACGGAGCAGTCACCAGGGACAGAGATGAAGGTTTACCTGCTCTCAAAAGGGATCATTCTGTACATAAACTGCCCACCAATCTGCTCTGGCTTTCTGAGCATAAGCAGCTCCTGTATGCTTGCAGTCAGACATCCCAGGCACAACTGGAGCCTAGAAACGTTCATCCAGGGAACTCTGTTCTGTGAAACAGCAACCACTTTCGACAGAAATGCAGATGGGCATGCCTCACTGGGACCCTGAGTGCAAAAAGTCCGAGGGGAGAGACCAGAAACTTTCAGGCCATTGGGCAATGCTGAGCTGGAGTTCTATCCTAGAACCTCAATGAGGTGCAGACCCTGCTCAGGGACGAAGCACACCAATCCCTTCCTAGTGGGAGATGTTGTGCAGGGCCTTTAGAAGTTCTTGTTTGCAGACCAGAACTTTTCTACTGATATTTGAAATTCTCTCAACACAATTTGTTACAGAAGAAAAGTTTTAAGTATGAATACCCATCGCAGCCACATCGCTGGCATGTCTGCTGAAAACAAGTGGACTGAGCCTACAGACAAGGGCAGGCAAAGGAGTGGTCTCTGATTGCAATGCACACAAGGTGGGGTGACCTGGGAGAGTGACCTTGTTGAGCCTCAGGATCCTCTCCCCAAGGTGGGGACAGAATCTCCACCAGGAGAGGTCCAGTAAGCGTTGCAGGGATCAGGACAGCACAGGGTCTAGCACAGGACAGATGCCCATGAGAGTGGCTTTCATAGCTGGGTGTGAATCGCTGTGTCCTGGGATGACTCTGCACATCTCTGTACATCTGTACAGAGGAAAAGTGCATGGTCTCACCAAGAAAAGGTGCCTGCTGATCTATAGCACTGGTGGAAGAACTATCGTTGCCAATTCTACTGCAGAACATTGAGAAACAGGGAAGGGCATCAGGATTTCATGATTTTCCTATAGAATGATTTGATGAGTGAAGGTGCCTCAAACCCAAAAGATTCATGCTGAGAGAAAGTGTAAAAGTTCATTGAAGCTCAGATTCAAGGAAATTGGACTTTTTCTCTGCCCCTCCCCATGAAGCCATACTCTAGGGCTCCTACTCAACAAGAGGCACTCTGCTTGTGATGACATGAGGGACCCCTAGCCTCACTCAGATACTGAATAGATTCCTGTCTTGGTGCAAGATTATGGCGGCTTTGCATGAGAAAAAAATGCCGAGTTTAGACACTGGATTAAAACTACAGACCTCATATGAGCACAAATCAGTGCTGTTAAGCAGAAGATGAAAACCACACCATGGACACAGGTGCGGGACTGGACTGCTGTGGTTAGCACCAAGCTGCTTCAGAGAAAACAGAGTCTGCCGGCCAAGGATACCTAGTATCAGATAACTAAGGAAACATTGTACAGACTGCCAAAGCTTTAAGCCTGAGAAGTTTGGAGGATGCTGTTTACAATAGCAACTGTTGTTAAAATTAAGAACATCACAGTGACTTGTTAAAGAAGCCTCTCCAAGAGAGATGGTGGTGGCTCAGTTTTTGCCATTCTGCCTTCCCATCCCCTCCTTCCCTGCCTTGATGTCAAAAGCTGCACCTTGAAAGTGGGCCTGGTGACAGCCAAGGGATACCCCGTTTGATGACTATGAACAAACTCCACCCAAGAGCCACATCCAGACCGAGATAAGTCCCCGGGGCCTGAGTGCACAGTGGTCTGTCTCACCCAACACAGGTGCAGCAACCCAAGACTACAGAGGCCACGTGGGAGACCAGTGGAGTGTTCCCGTTCACAATGGAGCACTCACTGTCTAAAACAAGAGCAGAGCAGACAGGCTGTTTCTCCAGTGAGGACCAGGTGCTCCTAGAATGGGACCAGTCAGAAGCTTCCGGAAGAAGTGCAGGAGTCAAACACGTACCATGAGAGTCTTGTGAGACATCTTGATCTTCAATTTCTGGAATCTCCCTGATGAGACTGGAGGGAGGGAAAGGTGGGTGAGAAACAGAAAGGGAACAGAAAGCCCCTTTCCAAGCAGTTCCAAAGAGGCAGCTTCCAGAAGTGGCTGTGCTGAGCAAGGGGCCACCCACAACCTTGTCCCTATCTGAGGAAGTCTGGCTTCTAATTCCCTAGTAGTCCATGCCACACTGTCTGCTCTGCCTCCGAGTTACCTGGATGTGTATCTCACAACTTGCTCTTGTACCTCCACTCCATGATATTGATTTTCTGCAAACAAATTCAGATAGAATGACCAGGTTAAGCAGGTTTTGGGTCAGATATGAGTATCCAATGTCCACTACTACCAAGGGGACAGATTGTTCTCGTGTGAGAACGGGAGACTGTGACGGAAATCCTCCAGGAGGACTAAGTCGACTCAGGAGATTGGCTTGGTGAGCCATCCTGGGCAAGGGGTCAAATCTCCCTGTTCACAGTTGGATCACCATCTCAATAACCTCTGTCCAGAACCCTTAGAAACTGCCTGCAATGGTCCTCAGGGATTCTAAGCTCACAGCCCAAGAACTTCCTAGGAGGCAAACTGCAGTCATCAGGCTGCTCTCATTAAAGGACCCAGGTTGCTGACTGTGGAGAAGAGGTAGAACACTGGGAGAGAGCTATGCATAGAGTCTGCATGCCCTGGAATTGAAACCTGTTTGATGCCACACAGAATCTTGGCTATTCTAAGAGTTTGCTCATGAATAATCTCCCTCTTGTCTATGGGAACAATACAAGCAATTCAAGAGCATGTATTTCTGGACGAACTCTTTCCTAGTCTATTCATCTTCAAATGGAAACGCCATTGAGAACATGAAAGACAGAGATGCCTATATGGATGCTGTGGCCTGGACAAGCATGGATGTCAAAGGGCAGAGCTGAGGTTTGGGATTGAAGAAAAAGTAAGCAAGTGGCGACAGTGATCCTCCAAGGTTCCAACCAGGAGGGAGCAAACACCACTGGGGCACATGCTGCTGAGCTTGCTGTGAAATGGTCACAGCTCTGTTCCATAACAAATAAACAATCATGAATTCTAATTCCTGCTCACAGCTCAATTCAGGATTTTGAGTCTACAACCACAAGTCTGTAGGTCTGGCACGTAGCAATGACTTCACTCATCCTCAGTGGGGATAGGAGTACAAGGACAGAGCAGTCACCAGGGACAGAGATGAAGGTTTACCTGCTCTCAAAAGGGATCATTCTGTACATAAACTGCCCACCAATCTGCTCTGGCTTTCTGAGCATAAGCAGCTCCTGTATGCTTGCAGTCAGACATCCCAGGCACAACTGGAGCCTAGAAACGTTCATCCAGGGAACTCTGTTCTGTGAAACAGCAACCACTTTCGACAGAAATGCAGATGGGCATGCCTCACTGGGACCCTGAGTGCAAAAAGTCCGAGGGGAGAGACCAGAAACTTTCAGGCCATTGGGCAATGCTGAGCTGGAGTTCTATCCTAGAACCTCAATGAGGTGCAGACCCTGCTCAGGGACGAAGCACACCAATCCCTTCCTAGTGGGAGATGTTGTGCAGGGCCTTTAGAAGTTCTTGTTTGCAGACCAGAACTTTTCTACTGATATTTGAAATTCTCTCAACACAATTTGTTACAGAAGAAAAGTTTTAAGTGTGAATACCCAAACCAGCCACATCGCTGGCATGTCTGCTGAAAACAAGTGGACTGAGCCTACAGACAAGGGCCAGGCAAAGGAGTGGTCTCTGATTGCAATGCACACAAGGTGGGGTGACCTGGGAGAGTGACCTTGTTGAGCCTCAGGATCCTCTCCCCAAGGTGGGGACAGAATCTCCACCAGGAGAGGTCCAGTAAGCGTTGCAGGGATCAGGACAGCACAGGGTCTAGCACAGGACAGATGCCCATGAGAGTGGCTTTCATAGCTGGGTGTGAATCGCTGTGTCCTGGGATGACTCTGCACATCTCTGTACATCTGTACAGAGGAAAAGTGCATGGTCTCACCAAGAAAAGGTGCCTGCTGATCTATAGCACTGGTGGAAGAACTATCGTTGCCAATTCTACTGCAGAACATTGAGAAACAGGGAAGGGCATCAGGATTTCATGATTTTCCTATAGAATGATTTGATGAGTGAAGGTGCCTCAAACCCAAAAGATTCATGCTGAGAGAAAGTGTAAAAGTTCATTGAAGCTCAGATTCAAGGAAATTGGACTTTTTCTCTGCCCCTCCCCATGAAGCCATACTCTAGGGCTCCTACTCAACAAGAGGCACTCTGCTTGTGATGACATGAGGGACCCCTAGCCTCACTCAGATACTGAATAGATTCCTGTCTTGGTGCAAGATTATGGCGGCTTTGCATGAGAAAAAAATGCCGAGTTTAGACACTGGATTAAAACTACAGACCTCATATGAGCACAAATCAGTGCTGTTAAGCAGAAGATGAAAACCACACCATGGACACAGGTGCGGGACTGGACTGCTGTGGTTAGCACCAAGCTGCTTCAGAGAAAACAGAGTCTGCCGGCCAAGGATACCTAGTATCAGATAACTAAGGAAACATTGTACAGACTGCCAAAGCTTTAAGCCTGAGAAGTTTGGAGGATGCTGTTTACAATAGCAACTGTTGTTAAAATTAAGAACATCACAGTGACTTGTTAAAGAAGCCTCTCCAAGAGAGATGGTGGTGGCTCAGTTTTTGCCATTCTGCCTTCCCATCCCCTCCTTCCCTGCCTTGATGTCAAAAGCTGCACCTTGAAAGTGGGCCTGGTGACAGCCAAGGGATACCCCGTTTGATGACTATGAACAAACTCCACCCAAGAGCCACATCCAGACCGAGATAAGTCCCCGGGGCCTGAGTGCACAGTGGTTTGTCTCACCCAACACAGGTGCAGCAACCCAAGACTACAGAGGCCACGTGGGAGACCAGTGGAGTGTTCCCGTTCACAATGGAGCACTCACTGTCTAAAACAAGAGCAGAGCAGACAGGCTGTTTCTCCAGTGAGGACCAGGTGCTCCTAGAATGGGACCAGTCAGAAGCTTCCGGAAGAAGTGCAGGAGTCAAACACGTACCATGAGAGTCTTGTGAGACATCTTGATCTTCAATTTCTGGAATCTCCCTGATGAGACTGGAGGGAGGGAAAGGTGGGTGAGAAACAGAAAGGGAACAGAAAGCCCCTTTCCAAGCAGTTCCAAAGAGGCAGCTTCCAGAAGTGGCTGTGCTGAGCAAGGGGCCACCCACAACCTTGTCCCTATCTGGGGAAGTCTGGCTTCTAATTCCCTAGTAGTCCATGCCACACTGTCTGCTCTGCCTCCGAGTTACCTGGATGTGTATCTCACAACTTGCTCTTGTACCTCCACTCCATGATATTGATTTTCTGCAAACAAATTCAGATAGAATGACCAGGTTAAGCAGGTTTTGGGTCAGATATGAGTATCCAATGTCCACTACTACCAAGGGGACAGATTGTTCTCATGTGAGAACGGGAGACTGTGACGGAAATCCTCCAGGAGGACTAAGTCGACTCAGGAGATGGGCTTGGTGAGCCATCCTGGGCAAGGGGTCAAATCTCCCTGTTCACAGTTGGATCACCATCTCAATAACCTCTGTCCAGAACCCTTAGAAACTGCCTGCAATGGTCCTCAGGGATTCTAAGCTCACAGCCCAAGAACTTCCTAGGAGGCAAACTGCAGTCATCAGGCTGCTCTCATTAAAGGACCCAGGTTGCTGACTGTGGAGAAGAGGTAGAACACTGGGAGAGAGCTATGCATAGAGTCTGCATGCCCTGGAATTGAAACCTGTTTGATGCCACACAGAATCTTGGCTATTCTAAGAGTTTGCTCATGAATAATCTCCCTCTTGTCTATGGGAACAATACAAGCAATTCAAGAGCATGTATTTCTGGACGAACTCTTTCCTAGTCTATTCATCTTCAAATGGAAACGCCATTGAGAACATGAAAGACAGAGATGCCTATATGGATGCTGTGGCCTGGACAAGCATGGATGTCAAAGGGCAGAGCTGAGGTTTGGGATTGAAGAAAAAGTAAGCACGTGGCGACAGTGATCCTCCAAGGTTCCAACCAGGAGGGAGCAAACACCACCGGGGCACATGCTGCTGAGCTTGCTGTGAAATGGTCACAGCTCTGTTCCATAACAAATAAACAATCATGAATTCTAATTCCTGCTCACAGCTCAATTCAGGATTTTGAGTCTACAACCACAAGTCTGTAGGTCTGGCACGTAGCAATGACTTCACTCATCCTCAGTGGGGATAGGAGTACAAGGACAGAGCAGTCAGTCACCAGGGACAGAGATGAAGGTTTACCTGCTCTCAAAAGGGATCATTCTGTACATAAACTGCCCACCAATCTGCTCTGGCTTTCTGAGCATAAGCAGTTCCTGTATGCTTGCAGTCAGACATCCCAGGCACAACTGGAGCCTAGAAACGTTCATCCAGGGAACTCTGTTCTGTGAAACAGCAACCACTTTCGACAGAAATGCAGATGGGCATGCCTCACTGGGACCCTGAGTGCAAAAAGTCCGAGGGGAGAGACCAGAAACTTTCAGGCCATTGGGCAATGCTGAGCTGGAGTTCTATCCTAGAACCTCAATGAGGTGCAGACCCTGCTCAGGGACGAAGCACACCAATCCCTTCCTAGTGGGAGATGTTGTGCAGGGCCTTTAGAAGTTCTTGTTTGCAGACCAGAACTTTTCTACTGATATTTGAAATTCTCTCAACACAATTTGTTACAGAAGAAAAGTTTTAAGTATGAATACCCATCGCAGCCACATCGCTGGCATGTCTGCTGAAAACAAGTGGACTGAGCCTACAGACAAGGGCAGGCAAAGGAGTGGTCTCTGATTGCAATGCACACAAGGTGGGGTGACCTGGGAGAGTGACCTTGTTGAGCCTCAGGATCCTCTCCCCAAGGTGGGGACAGAATCTCCACCAGGAGAGGTCCAGTAAGCGTTGCAGGGATCAGGACAGCACAGGGTCTAGCACAGGACAGATGCCCATGAGAGTGGCTTTCATAGCTGGGTGTGAATCGTTGTGTCCTGGGATGACTCTGCACATCTCTGTACATCTGTACAGAGGAAAAGTGCATGGTCTCACCAAGAAAAGGTGCCTGCTGATCTATAGCACTGGTGGAAGAACTATCGTTGCCAATTCTACTGCAGAACATTGAGAAACAGGGAAGGGCATCAGGATTTCATGATTTTCCTATAGAATGATTTGATGAGTGAAGGTGCCTCAAACCCAAAAGATTCGTGCTGAGAGAAAGTGTAAAAGTTCATTGAAGCTCAGATTCAAGGAAATTGGACTTTTTCTCTGCCCCTCCCCATGAAGCCATACTCTAGGGCTCCTACTCAACAAGAGGCACTCTGCTTGTGATGACATGAGGGACCCCTAGCCTCACTCAGATACTGAATAGATTCCTGTCTTGGTGCAAGATTATGGCGGCTTTGCATGAGAAAAAAATGCCGAGTTTAGACACTGGATTAAAACTACAGACCTCATATGAGCACAAATCAGTGCTGTTAAGCAGAAGATGAAAACCACACCATGGACACAGGTGCGGGACTGGACTGCTGTGGTTAGCACCAAGCTGCTTCAGAGAAAACAGAGTCTGCCGCCAAGGATACCTAGTATCAGATAACTAAGGAAACATTGTACAGACTGCCAAAGCTTTAAGCCTGAGAAGTTTGGAGGATGCTGTTTACAATAGCAACTGTTGTTAAAATTAAGAACATCACAGTGACTTGTTAAAGAAGCCTCTCCAAGAGAGATGGTTGTGGCTCGGTGTTTGCCATTCTGCCTTCCCATCCCCTCCTTCCCTGCCTTGATGTCAAAAGCTGCACCTTGAAAGTGGGCCTGGTGACAGCCAAGGGATTCCCCCGTTTGATGACTATGAACAAACTCCACCCAAGAGCCACATCCAGACCGAGATAAGTCCCTGGGGCCTGAGTGCACAGTGGTCTGTCTCACCCAACACAGGTGCACCAACCCAAGACTACAGAGGCCACGTGGGAGACCAGTGGAGTGTTCCCGTTCACAATGGAGCACTCACTGTCTAAAACAAGAGCAGAGCAGACAGGCTGTTTCCCAGTGAGGACCAGGTGCTCCTAGAATGGGACCAGTCAGAAGCTTCCGGAAGAAGTGCAGGAGTCAAACACGTACCGTGAGAGTCTTGTGAGACATCTTGATCTTCAATCTCTGGAATCTCCCTGATGAGACTGGAGGGAGGGAAAAGTGGGTGAGAATCATAAAGGGAACAGAAAGCCCCTTTCCAAGCTGTTCCTAAGAGGAGGCTTCCAGAAGTGGCTGGGCTGAGCAAGGGGCCACCCACAACTTTGTCCCTGTCTGGGGAAGACTGGCTACTAACAGTGCAGACAGGATGCAATGTCTTCCATTTGAGGAGGGTCCTTGCTGACCACCTGGAGTAGACGAACTGAACGTTAACACAGGGCAGCTTTCATGTGAGGAAAAATGAAGTGCTCATATGAAGCACGTGGCAAACAGAAAGCCAGGTGAAACAGAAACCCCACTGCCTTCACTGAGAATAGTAAGTATGTGTAGATATATAATATTTACACATGAATCAACTACAGCCAAATATTAAATGTTATTAGATCTATGTGCTTGTAGACGTCTTTATGCTTATTTGTACTGCTTGAAGTCAATGAAAAGTAAACAGGCAAACAGAACTCTCATCTTCTTGGAGAAAGAGTATTAGGTTTGAGGTGATAGGTGAGTAGCAGAGATATTGAAAGGGCATGGAGACAGAAGCAGAGAGAAACAGAGGATTTCCTCTGTGATGAGGTCATTAGGGACTCAACCTGGAGAAATGACTCAGTTGGCCCACTAGTACCCATGAGTATTTGGAAAACAAAAACTGGCTTCAATAGATTTATGTAAATTACATGCAGAGTCAATGAATTCCCCTTGTGGGATACTGGAGACTATCACAGCTTTAGCCGTCAGTCTTATTCTCAGTGCTGAGGCACTAGTTTCTGTCGGGTGGTTTCATGTGATTAATGGGGGGCAGAGAAGCTCATGAGAAGAGGAGACCTGTGAGCAGCACCCTGCCCTTCACTGCACACAAGAGAGGCAATGATGGCAAGGAATCCCTGGAGAGGCTCCTTCATGGAGTCAGCCTGCTGCAGGTCACTACATGGAAAAGGTAGGGAGAAGTGGAAACCCAGAGTGGTACCCTAAGGATGGCAGACAGCAGTGCTGATGGGGTACTGCTGGGTTGGCTCAATGGATGGGAGATGCACAGTGGCACTGCTCTTCTTCTCTGGACCTGGAGTCTGCCCGTGTCAGCACTAAGCTCACTGCCCAGGGTTCCTAAGACTCACCTGGAGTGTGATAGGGCTTGTGCTTCCTCTTGCTCTTCATCATTGTCACGTTCCTTTTCTGCAAATGAATTCAAATACGCACAGTCATCTAGGATGATCCCCTCAAAGCCTGTACAATGCGCTGTCCAGTGCTAGCACAGCACACCAGTATCCTCAGTGTCACTGCCAACTCCTCAGATAGGAATTGTCTAGAGGGTGGAGGTCATTTCTGAGGGAACTAGCTTGTTCATTTTTCTTTGACAAATGAGGTAAACCTCCCTATTCCTCCAGTCATCACACCAATAATTGCTGACCTGATTCCCTACACAAATGAAACAAATTTTCCCAAGTGTGAGTACTGTAGCATAGTAGGTAAAGTTGCTGCCTTTAACCCCAGGATCCCATGTGAATGCCGCTTCAAGTCCTGGCTGTTCTGCTTCTGATCCAGATCCCTCTAATGCACCTGGGAATGCAGTAGAAGATGGTCCAGTACTTGGGCCCTGCACCCACATAGGAGACCTGGATGAAACTCCTAGTTCCTCCCTGGGCCTCGTCCAGTTAATGCCGTTGTGGCCATGTGGGGAGCAGACCAGAGTATGCAAGAGTTGCCCCTCTCTCTCTCTCTCTCTCCCTTTTTCTCTCTCTAATTCTGCCTTTCATAAGGTAAAATAAAATCTAAAATAATATTCTCTGGAGACGCTTGGTTCCTAGTGTGATTCCTTTCCATGAGAGGAAGTGCAGTGCCCATGGTTCTCAAACAAGCTATCTTGGTAATTTGTGGTTTACCATATTTTTTGCATTGAGGATAAGATAAAAGGTGGAACAGGTGAATTTTCAGTTCTGGGTATCAGAGAGCATGTGTGCAGCACAAGAGAAAACTTGGCTACTCATGGAATCTGTAAGCACAGGTCTCAGATTTGCAGCCTGGGGACACACTACTAAAGGAATGACAGAATATTCTGTATGTGTGGTAGGTGAAATGATGCCAACTTTGAAGGGACAGACAACGTGGTTGGGTTCAATGAAACAGGGGGAGTATCTTGACTGCAATGGAGACAAGCATGCTGCTGGCTCTGACAGGAAACAATGTCACATGACAGGGATGGGGAATGACTCGTGTGATCAACGCTGCAGGGGGCAGAGGGGTCTGCTTCATTAAGAACAGACGGCAGAGACAAACATGAGATTTGCTGCTTAGGTTGGTGTGCATCTGTGACATTCTTCTGGCAATGACTGAGCACTGGAATCTGAGTGACAAACCTACACAAGGAATGGGAGGACAGCAAGGCTGGATGGGCCAACCACAACTGTGCAACAGACTGGTTGGAAAAGAACAGATGCTGAGAACGTCTCAGACCATCCCATGTCCAGGAGCCCTCTCAGTCAGGTGGCAGTGAGGAGTGCAAGGATAGTGCAGGCTCCTTGGCAAGCAGAGGGGGTTGTATCACCTCACAGTGGGGGACTCACCGTTGCATCTGGAGCAGAGAACATGTCCTGCTGCTCCAGGGAGCACCAGCTGCTCCATGTGGAATGGTCAAGCTCAGAAACGACTGGAGAAATCGAGGGAGTGAGGTAGCACTCGTCCAGTGAGTCATCTGGGTCTTCCTGCTCTTGCTCCTCTGGAGCTCCCTGCTGAGATGGGAGGGCAGAGACACTGAAGACACGCATCACAGGTACAGAAGTGACTTTGTCATCAGACTACAGGTTAAAATATGTGAGGGATTTTCAAAGGGGGAATATAGAGGGAAACAATACAAAAGGGAACGTTAGGAACAGAGCCATTTCATCATTGGCTGAATGTTCCAACTGGCTCTAGTGACCAGTTTCTCCAGCATTTCGATTCCCTAGTAGTCCATGCTACACTGTCTGCTCTGCCTCCGAGTTACCTGGAAGTGTATGTGACAACTTGCTCTTGTACCTCCACTTCGTGATATTGATTTTCTGCAAACAAATTCAGAGAGATTGACCATGTTAAGCATGTTTTGGGTCAGATATTGGTATCCAATGGCCACTACTACCAAGGGGACAGATTGTTCTCGTGTGAGAACAGGAGACTGTGACAGAAATCCTCCAGGAGGACTAAGTCAACATCAGGAGATGGGCTTGGTGAGCCATCCTGGGCTAGGGGTCAAATCTCCCTGTTCACAGTTGGATCACCATCTCAATAACCTCTGTCCAGAACCCTTAGAAACTGCCTGCAATGGTCCTCAGGGATTCTAAGCTCACAGCCCAAGAACTTCCTAGGAGGCAAACTGCAGTCATCAGGCTGCTCTCATTAAAGGACCCAGGTTGCTGACTGTGGAGAAGAGGTAGAACACTGGGAGAGAGTTATGCATGGAGTCTGCATTTCCTGGAATTGAAACCTGTTTGATGCCACAGAGAATCTTGGCTATTCTAAGAGTTGCTCATGAATAATCTCCCTCTTGTCTATGGGAACAATACAAGCTATTCAAGAGCTCTCTACCCAGGCCCTTTAGGATTTATGTATCTAAAATCTAGGAGTGTTGCTATAGTACTGACTCATCCTATCACACTGATCATGGTGAATAAGGGTAGAGGAGTTTCTATAGAAGGCTGAATGAACTCTATAACACCTCATATAAATAAATCTATGCAGTTATAGAGAAACATTGAACACTGATTTTGTAGGGACATTGCTGGATTCAGCTATGTTTTTTGAACTGTACAGGAAGTACAGTATAAAAGACTTTGTGTCCTGGTTTTGAGATGATTGCATAGCTAAGATAAGCTGTCTTAAAGTATATAGAGACTAGGGATGGAAGTAGGGAAACTAGGATCACAACTTGGCCCACACATGGGAAGTGTTACCCAAAGCCTGCATGGGGCTAGAACTCCAGGGATACAGTAGCAGAACAGAATGATATCACTGCAGGTGACAGCAGGCATTATTTCTAAGTTAGAGTGTCTGAAAGGCACTTCCTACACAGGGCCTCTGTATGTTCCCATAGGCTAGGGTGCAGTGAGGACAAACATGCATCTGAGGGGAGGGAAGCTCCTTGACTCTCCTGATGTCTCTGTTCAGTGCCACAACCTGGACCCTGACTGAAACCAACTTGTGTCTGCAGGGCCTGTGCTCAAAAGCAACCCTCCACCTGAGAGTCATTGTGTACAAAGAATGGAGAGGCTACCTGGGAGAATGGTGACAGGTTCTTCTTTCATGTGTGAACAAGCGTGTCCCCCGTCTACACCTAGCACACCGTGGGTGTCCTCAGCATCACGAGACATTTGCACAGTGCCCTCAGGCAGGCAGGAGTCACTCGGCAGGTGGTCAACAGCACCAGTGATAGATGTTTCCTGCTGTGAACTTTGTGGGGTTTCCATTTCATCCACTTCCAAGAACTCCCTGAGAAGCCAGGTGGGATAAGGATGACAGAGATGAAACCAAGAAGGAAGAGACACCAGGGGAGTTGGCTGGTTTGGATGGGGTGCATAAGGGATCAGTCATAGACAGCATAGAGGCAGTTCCCTCCACTCTGGACACTGTGTGGCTGCCTAGGAGGAGAGGGCCTGGGAAGAGATCAGCCACTGCTCATCACACTCAATACACAGCAGCTAATGAGGAAGCAGCCTCCACTGTCGCTGCATGGCACAGTCATAGCACAAGCACACATTGACAGCTGTGCGGGCTGACACCCTGTGCTCAGGTTGGGTTGTTGCAGTGTCCTGCAGCCATGTGATCAAGGTCCTAGTGGCTTGGCAGATTCTAGAGATGTGCTACCTTCTGGGCCTTCTCTTAACCAAGTCACAGGACAGCAAACATGGTTTGTAGAGGTGCTTTTCTGCAGTTGAACCTGGCTGGATTCTTCCTAACTGCTCCCTTTGCACATTGCCTCTTCGCTAGTTTTCTCTGAGGAGAACTTCAGCTAACTCTGTAGAAAGCAGATGCACATCTTCCTCTGCTTTTCCAGAAAGCAGAGAACAGGGGTTCCCTTTGTGTGCAGGCAACACCTAAGGCTGTGAGTTCATGATGGATCCTATCAGCAACTAGGACCAGGACAACAGACAACTACTTTAACAGGGGGATTTCCTAGTTGGCAAGAAAGGACTCAACACAATTTGCAGTTGTGTTTCTGCATGTGTCTCAACTCCATGACTGTCTCGGCCCCTTTTCTGTTCTTTAGGAGACCCTGTGCATCCTTCACCCATTTGTTGCCAGCTCCTAATCATTCACTATTACCTGTCAGCAACAGGTCCTTGTGCTGGTGTTTCCTCCTCTTCAATATTTTCTGTAAACAAATTCAGAAATGTCCAATCAGATAATTTCACCCCCCCCCACTACAATCAAGGTGGCCTCTGTGTGCATATGAATATCTACATATGGGCCAATAGTGGACAAAAACTTCAAATGTTCTGTGTTTAAAGAAACGCCTTGCCATTCTCTTGTGGTCCATCAGGCTTTGTGTCTCTGCACTTGGAGATCAGAATCATGGCAGATTCTGCCTGAAACTAGGCCAACATCCTTTGCTCCCATATCACTGGAAGCTTCTCAAGCTTCCCTGGAACTTCTGCCTGTTATCCCTCATCCTGCCACTAGTGGGAGTCCAAGGCATGGGTTCTATGTTCCAATGGGTCTCACAGAGAACCTCCAGCTGTCAGGAAGAAGCAAAGAACCCGACTTCCATCCCTCCCTCACAGGCCCTCCAAGGTTTCTCTGCTGTATCATTACAGGAAATTCTCTCTGTGTTACGAGTTCCCTTCACAGCTTCCTCACTTAAGTTCTACTAACTCTAGTGCCTGGTCTGGCACTCCCAGGGAGAGAAGGGCCTTTGTCCTATTGGGAAACATACAAGCAAGTTTCCACCTTTGATGGTTACATCTGCTCTGCCCCAGAGTTTTTGGTCCATCTAGTGAATGAGGAGAGAGAAATCCTGGATGGAGAAAGCAATCACCTGTCTACTATTTGAAAACCCCATTGAGCACAGAGCTGGAGGCTTCCATTCAACTTAGCTCAGTGACTTTGTTCAGCCTAACAGTGGCTGCATTTCACAAGGTCTTTCTGGCTCTTGATATGAGGGTGGACCCTGCCTCTTGCCCCAAAGGCCAACCACAATCAGGAAGGGAGGGGAGAGCTTTGGGATACTGCAAACTTGAAAGACTTCTCTGCCCCTATCTGTTTTTCCCAAGCAGTGCTGACCTTGTCATGGCACACATGTTCAGTACCAAGAAGAGCTGAGGCAAATGCCCATGGCAGAGATGAATGCATCTGAACCCCTGAGGCTTCTCACATGACAGCCTGTGCCCAGCTTACCTGCTCCAAGCAGGTCCTCAAGGCATCGCTGACAGCCGGACAGCCTCAGTGAGCAGTCGTCGGAAGCCCTGCCCCTTACAGGTCTCAGGGTCATGCACGGTGAGCACGTCCTTCAGGTACTGCTGCAGGATGTGGGCTAGATTTCTCCCCCTTTGGACCTTTGGACGTAACTGGGAAGAGTTCTTGGTCCTGATCTTCAAGGATGCCACGGCAATGCCTAAGGTGCAAGCGTGGAGAAAGTTCTAGATGGGAAGGGATGAGTGTTAGGCTCTCTGTGTTTCAACAGATTTTCATAACAATGCCTTATAGAGCCCTCCACCAGCATCACCACTCAGGTTTGGAGAAATACCTGTGCCAAGAACAGCAAAGGGCAACACAAGGCCTTGCTCCCACTTTTAGAGTAAGATCTTGTCACAATTCCTGAGATTCCTATTAGGGTTGTTATCTATCAACAGTGCAAGGATTCTTCCTTCCTCGCCTTCATAAAGGTGCTAATTCAGTTCCTCCTTCCAGCCACAGGCATTTCCATGTAGGAAGACACACAGTGTACAGTGCAGTGACTGGGAATCATGGTGCATGCAGGGGTTACATGGCAAGAAACAAGAATGAAGGTCTGGCAGAGCCAAGCTAAGCATCAGTCTTCTATATCAGGAGGTGATGGTGACTAAGGGTAAATGAGGATTGATTGCAAGGTGACCAAACAGAGGAGCCCAGCATACCCTCCTCCTCCCCTGAGAAGACCCAATGCAGCTCCATCTCGAGGTGAGTGCCCACAGAAAAGCACCTCCACTCTTAAGGGAACTATGAGAACACAGGGAGGAAGAGAGAACAGGCATAGCGCCACCTACAGAGGACCAAAGCTAACTGGTGACTGGATTCCCAGAAACACAGCCACGGGGATTTCCTGTTGCAGAAGAGAGAGTAAACAGGAGGGCCCCATGGGAGCTCATCCACCTGGACACCTTACTTACAGACTCTCTACACTTGCATCTCTGAATTCAGATTCCTCTGCTCCCTCCTTGTTTCATAACATCTGAGACACGGGGCTTTGCTGTAACTCCTCTGCCCTTGTTTGGCACAGGCTGGCTCAGTTTTTGATTTGGGCTGCCCACTAGTGAAACACATCCCCACCTGCCTGCCCTACACAGAGAGCCTTACCTGAGCAGCTCAGTAGACCTGGGCTGCTTTGACAGGGGCCTCCACGTGTAGCTTCTTGGTCAACATGGACTCCATGATGTCTTTTTTTATTATTATTATCTACTCATACCATTTTATTAGGGAAATAAACAGTAATTGAAGAGGAAAAATGTATTTTCATTTTAATTTCTCCTGAAGGGAGAATTTTTTCAAAGTACCTATTCAGTTTTACTTTCAATTTAAAATAAATTTTTACCACTTCTTTTTAAAAATTTATTCATTCATTTATTTTAAGGAATACTCATTTCATAATACAACTTTAGGAATATAGTTATTCTTCTCCACATACCCAGCGTACCACCCACACTCCCAGCCCAGCTCCTCTTCCCTCTCTACTTCTCAATCTCATTCTCCATTAAGATGCATTTTCAATGAACTTTGTACACAGAAGACCAACTCTATATTAAGTAACGATTTCAACAATGCGCACACACACCCACACAAGAATAAAAACTGTTTGAGAAATGGTTCACTGTAACTCTCTTTTAATACAACTCATTGAGGACAGAGGTCCTGCATGGGGAGTCAGTGCACAGTGACTCCTGCTGTTAATTGAACAATTAGCACTCCTCTGTATGTTGTCAGGGACCACACAAGGCTCATGACATGAGCTGACTAGGCTATGGAAGCATTTTGAAAACTCTGTATTTAGACAAGGCCATCAGCAAAGTGGAAGTTCTCTCCTCCCTTAGAGAAAAGTGCATCCTCCTTTGATGGCCACTTCTTTGTCTGGGGTCCCACAGTGATCCTACATGGAGAACATTGTTTGCCACAGTGCCTTGGCTTTCCATGCCTGAGATGCCTCAGTTCTCCCTTCTGAGCTGCCACACCAGAGACACCCACACCCCTCCCCACCTGCCTGCCCCACACAGAGACACTTACCTGAGCAGCTCTGGGACCGTGGGCTTCTCTGCCAGCGGCTCCTCAAAGTGGAGCTTCTTGGTCAGTATGGACTCAATGATGTTTTTAAACTTCTCACAATCTGGGGAAAGACAGACATGCAGAACTCAGGGAGGTGCTTTTGTAGTCAGTGCCTGCTGAAGACCAAAAGAACTCCAGGGCCAGGCTCCAGATTGGGGGTTTCACATCTGTATTTCATCACCTCACTATATAGCATCTGAAATTTCCTATTTTTAAAAGATTTATTTATTTATTTGAAAAGCAGAGTTACAGAGAGACATAGTCAGAAAGAGAGAGAGAGAGAGACTCCATCAGCTGGTTCACTCCCCAAATGGCTGCAAGGTTGGAGCTGTGCCAATCTGAAGCCAGGAGCCAAGAGCTGTTTCTAGGTCTCCCATGTGGATGCAGGGGCCTAAGCATGTTGGTTATCTTCTACTGTTTTTTAGGCCATAGCAGAGAGCTGGTTTGGTAGTGGACCAGCCAGAATTGAACTACTACCCATATGGGATGCCAGCCCTGCAGGCAGTGGCTTTACCTTCTGAACCACAGCACTGACCCTGCTATTTCCCAATAAAATGGGAAAAAAGGACTTCAAAGATACAGAAGGTGACTTGACAAGGTGATTCCACTGGTGTTTACAGAATCAGAGTTCCCAGCCCCTGAGCTCAGACTGAATCATGAGCCACTGGACTCAGCAAGTCTTGCTAGCCTCTCAGGTCAAACAGGAACCTGGGGCATGAAGTCGTCACCTTTGTATATTTGGGAGCTTGATAAGGGTTGTAGGACTGTTTCCTTGCATTGGGAAAGATTTCAAGTGTTTGTTATTACAGACTTAAGGGACCATCTTTCATGGAACTGTGTAGAGTACAATGTATAACAAAGTAAGGCCCTGAGGCAATATGGCCCAAGAAAAAGTATAGTTCCTGCTAAATTAGAAACAGTACAATAAGGGCCTCATGGATTCTGTTGATCCTGAGCGATGAATCCATCCTTGGAGTTGTATAGGAAAGAAGGAGGCCATTTGGTTGTGACAATCTAGAGGCAGGAATTATGATAGCACCTATGAATGGAGAGAAATCAAAGTTACAGAGAAGGTGGGCAATGGGGGGCACCCAGGTGAGTGGCCCTGATTCCCCCCCACACACACCCTGTGCTCCCACTCCCAGGTCTCAGGCACCGTCTTCCTCTTCTGGAAGAAGAACTTGTGCTCCAGGAGCAGGACTTTCTCCCAGCGGGGAGGCTGTGTTGTGAGGGTGTTCCCATGGATACCAGAGTTCCAGTGCACAGGAGACTCTCTGTCTCTCTGGAAGCCCATCCTGCTCACTCTGAACACATGTCCACTTCTGGACCTAGGACAGTGCTTTGCCAATGGGAACTCAATGGAAGCTTGAATTGAGTGAAATGTGTTAGCCCCAGAAATGAGGCCCACAGTGATGGTATAAGGCTGCAGGAGCTGACACAGACAGGATGATCATAAACATGCACTCAATATGGTGGAGCCTGACCCTGAGGACAACAGGCAGCTCTATGCCTCATCAGGAATCCATGACAGATTCAGCACTCCTGTCACCCTACACCTCACTGCTACCTTGGAAAACTTGCGAACCCTGTGTGTCAGCTTGGGAGTGTGGTCAGGAGGAAATTAAGTTAGGCAAAAAAGACAAAAATCACAGTAGTGAGGTAAACCATTTAGTTCCTCAGGAGAAGATACAGGACAATCATCACTGTGGTGAAATGACCCGAGAGAACTTACTGTATTTTTTCAGCTCCATGGCCAGGGCAAAGTTTGTAGCCTCAGCTATGAGAAACTTCTCCTGGAGCTCCCAGAAGTCCTGTTGGCTCTTTGCCAGCTGGGATCGCAATTGCTGGCATTCGAGGTCATTCAGTTCTGCCTCGGGATCTGATGCAGGGCTGTGGGATCCTGCCATGCTGATGGTGTGTCACAGCAGGACAACAGGGACTGGGGAGAGGAAACCCAAACACAGGCAAGGTTCAAACAAATGACATCCAAGAGTTTCAGGTAGGCTTGAGGGGTGACAATAACTGTCCAGCTTCACTTACTGATGTGAAACTCCTGATCCACAGCCCGACAACCCTGGGAAGTTCTTCACTGGACAAACAAGGATAAAATTGCCAAAGCCTAGATTGAAGGCACTGCCTGTAGCTCAGTCTCTGCTAGGACTGGCTGTTGTGTGGCAGCTAACGGTCTTGCCGTTGCCATCACAGAATTAGAAGGTGGAGAGTGTCATGGAATCTTTGGAACTCTGCCTTCCAGGGGCCTAAGCTAGGTTGAGACATAAGACCCCCACTGGTGGGGACAACCTACCCATCTTCCAGTCTCATAGTTATAGATTCCTGTACTGATACCACAGACCGTGTCCCCAAATCACCTAAGCATGTATCGCTCGTATAGTCATGTATGTGTATGAAAATACCAAGGACAGAAAATGTGTCCCAACAAGCCTTCCTTTCTCAGGCTGTTAGGAAGTCACCCCACCCGCTGTTTAAAGAGATCTCAAGGCTTTTCTACCTGTTTGAAATGGTGAATTTTAAGCTTCCATGATAAATGGGTCATTTTATTTTCTTAGAAAGGAATTTTGAGAGTTCATTTAGTCTCTGGATAGAATTGTTATATCAGGTATGCAATTTCAAATGTTTTCTCCCTATGTTGGCCTGTCTATTCATCTTCTTATCAATGACTTTGAACAGGAAATTTGAAACTATTGGGACATTTATGAATTATTCTTTTACGTATAGTTTGGGTATCTTACCTAAAAAATTAATCTAATTCAAGTTGAAAATACTTTGTACTATTTTTTCTTCTAAGAGGTTGAAATTGGCACAAGCGTTTGGTACAGCAGTTAAGATGCCACCTGGGGTGTCCACACCTGGATCAGTTGCCTGGGACCGAGTCCTTGCTTTGCTCTCCCCTCCAGCTTCCTGATAGTGCACACATGGTGAGGCAGCAGTGACGGCTCCAGTACTTGTGTCACTGCAGTCTATGTGTGAGATCCTGATGGACCCAGTCCTAGTTTCAGCCTGGCCAGGCCCAGGTTAGCTCAGGCCTCCTAGTTGCACACCAGTCAATAGGAGATCTCTTTTCTATGTCATTTGCCCTTGGATAAAACAAGGAACTTATAAGATGAAACATTTTATGAAAATGAAAATGTTTTTTTTTGTTAATTATACTTATTTGAGATGTAGTATCAGATGTAGAGAGACATACACACAGAGAAACACAACCAAGGTTATGTGTTTCATTGCTATTTCAGTCCCCAAATGCAGCAACACTCATGCTTGGCCAGGGTGGACACTTGGTGTCCAGAAACTCCAATTTGTTCTGTGAATGTGTGGGAAGAATCCAATCCTTTATTTTTTTATTTTTTTGACAGGCAGAGTTAGACTGTACAAAAGAGAGCGAGACAGAGAGAAAAGTCTTCCTTTTTCTGTTGGTTCACCCCACAAGCGGCCGATATGTCTGGTGCGTTGTCATCGGGCCATGCTGTGCCAATTCCATAAGCCAGGAGCCAGGTGCTTCTCCTGGTCTCCCACCACGGGTGCAGGGCCCAAGCATTTGAACCATCCTCCAGTGCATCCCAGGCCACAGCAGAGAGCTGGCTGGAAGAGGGCATCCGGGACAGAACTGGTGCCCCAAGCTAGAACCCTGGGTGCCCCGCAGGTGGAGGATTAGCCTAGTGAGCCAGCACCGGCTTGCTTTTTCATAATATTTATATAATTATTTCAACTATTTATATAATGAACATAATTATTTTTAGGAATATGTGTTACATATTGAAGTAGTTTTTTAATTAACTTCTTTATTTAATGTTGTATCTATGCATAATGAAATGTTAAGAACATAGTTTCTTCCCACTACCTGCTCCCACTATTCTCCCCCGCTTCCTCCTCCAACTCTCCTGTTTAGTCTGAGAAATAAAAAGACAGAATGGAAAAAAAACTAACAGCCTAGCAAAGGGCTGCCAAGGTTACTGCTTCTCAAAGGGGATTTCACTTTTGCCCCCTTCTGCTATTCCCTTCCTTCTTCCCCCTTTTTCCTTTTAGAAACTTAATTGTCTTCGAAGAACCCACGGATGATACATCTGCTGTGAGCTCTTAGACAGAACTATAACCTATGAGACATAAGAATATCCTCCATTTAATGCACTAAAAGGAATGATTTGGAGAACAGTTCTACTATTAGGTCCCTTGATACAGCTTTGAGGACAGAGGGCAGTGCACAGTGGCTCTCACTGTGTCTTTAACAAATCACACTCTTATGTCTGACCTCAGTGCTCACCCAGGGCACTTGACATGAGCTGCCTCAGCTACAGAAGCCTTCTGGATCCACCTAGCTCGACAAGGCCATGAGCAAAGAGGAAGCTCTCTCCTCCCTTCAGGGAATGTGCATCCTTCATAGTGGCCACTTCTTTCCACTTCAGTCTCACCCACAGGTGTCCTATGTGTAGGGCATTTTTTGCCAAAGGGTCTTAGATTGCCTGAAATGCTCTCGTGGGCTTTCCAGCCAGACTGAAGCTCATGGGTATTTGAGTTCACAGCTACTCATTCTGTGAGTCTGCGTATGGACCACTTTCTTATTAGACTCTTCACTCCTTTGGAATTCTATTATTGTTTCCAACACTTTGTCCTATTTATATGATCACTTTAACACTTGATCCTATCTCTATGCACTTTACCACTTAATCCTATCCATGTACTCTATAACACGGAAGCTGCTCTTTTTATCAGGCAGCTTAAGGGATTTTATCCTATGGCAAGTTGTTAACTGTACCCTTAGAACTAAGAGATCTAATACTTGATCCATCATATGCTGCCTCCTAGGGTGCACATTAGCAGGAATCCAGACAGGAAACCCTTTGGTGACTCAAACCCGCCACTCAAATATAGGATGTGAGCATTGCAAAAGCCACTTAACTGCTGAACAAAAATGCCAGTCCAAAGCTGCACATTTAAGTTCCATTTGAGGGATGATCAAAACTGGGATTTTTTTGAAATTTTAAATTCTGATGTCTAAATAGATGTAGGAGTTGCCACTGTGGCATAGTGGGTT